TTTATTTCCTTTTGGTCAGAAACTTATCAGCTTTGTTTTTTTATTTTCATAAGGAAATGCTTGAACGTCCAGCCTCGCATCAGGTTGTATATTAGCACTATGGAATTGTTTTCCTGCTTCTTACACACCATCGATAAAAATGAAGCTACTTAGGAACAGGGAAGCCCCTTTGGAATTGCAGCCTGAAGTGCCTGGTCTGCTGTTCCTGCGTCATCTTCACAGAGAAATGTAGAAGTTTTGAAAACTGCAGTTTGAACACAGTTTCCTAAGCTATTTCGATTATTTTATTTCCTGAAGAAGTGTTTTTGTGTTCCTGTTTAAATACAAGCTTTACGATTCTTAAATAGGATCACTTATTTTTCTTCTAAATTTGTTAAACTGTATCGTTTCCATTTCTGCTCAGTAAAAAAAATACTTAAGCATCTATTCTGAAAGGCAGAGATGAAAGTGTAAATTCCGCAGTATTTAGCAGTCCGCTTGAGGATCAGGTCACTTTTTTCACCTTGCTTTTAGCAAGAGCAATGGCAAAACTGACTACTCTCAAAGAACGCAAAATAAAATCTAATTTATTCCTACAAATTATTTCTGGTTATGCTAATCTTTAGTAATTATTTACATCTAGAGCAGGGCCAAACCCTGAAACAGATGCCTGCTTTTTTTTTTTAAACCATTTATATATAGTAGGAAATTCTAATGAACTTCGTATGAAACCAGATGTTTGTGGATAAATAAACCCTTTTGTTTGTTTACGCATATTTCACCAACAAAAAAAAAAAAATCTGTTTAATCTGTTCTTAAAACCTTGAGCCTGAAAAACGCAGAGGCTGGGACGAAGGGATTTGCCGGGCCTTTTGTCTGCAATGCACCTAGGTTTGCTTGTCTGTTCAGGGGGCTGCTTAGCATTTAGGAGGAGGAAAGCTATTTTTAGTTCAGGTATGAAAATGTGCGTTACTTTATTTCAATTATTTGGCTGATTGCTGAAAGTGCATTGGAGTGAAGGGGCATCGGCTAGTTCTGGCCTGCACTAATGGGAACATTTCAGAATGTGGATGAGTAATTAAAGTATAGAATGCGGAAAATTAGGCCAAAATTGAATAGAAGTGAATAAGTATGTGTTCTGTTGTGCAGATGTTGGAAACAGATTATTTGGATACCTCTTTCTATCTACATCTTATTTGGTTACCATGTAAAAATCGGTCATACCCCAGGTAGATTGTTTCTCTTCCCATTGCCTTTTCTGTTTCTGTGTTGTGATGTATCTGTTTCGGTAGTAATTCAGCAAAATATCCTGGCTGCCAGGTGTGGGAACTAGCTGATTGTATTGTAATACCAGATCATTACTTAATTCATATGCAACCTAGCCTAGCACATGGAAAGCATTATAAATCTATTTACAGTGTGGCTGGTCTGATGATAACATTGTATTAAATTCCCAGGTGAGGCAATTTAAGCAATTGCTTTGCCATGTGTAGGCCATGGAAATTAACTTCTCATATGCTTTAGTAATAGCCGAACTTCATTGTTATGCCCAGATTAGTAGTATAGCAGGATTCTTACAGGCTGGTTACATGTTCCTTACTTCACATGTAGAATCATACAGGGGGGTGGTACTGCAGATCACAGATCTTAATTAGTTTAAGCTGAGTTAATTCATTTCAATTCTAATTTAGCTGTGCTTGCCCATGAACACATTCAGTTCTACTGGGAAATGTTAAAGCTTGGGTCAAGTAGACAGATTGTTTAAAGCCAAATTGCCAGACAGAACTGAGCAAGTGTATCTGTTTGAACAGGGCTTTAAGAAAATCACCCAATCAGTATGCAAAAATCCTGTTCATAAACCAAGAGAGATCTGCCTGGAATCAGAAATTCTTCCTTGTCAGAAGGTCTGGGTACTGTAGTACATTTAAAACAGCCCCTGAAACTTTCTCCGTCTTGAAGTTCTTGTAGAAAGTAGCTTAACCCTTTTGTGTCGTCGTGTGTTTGTGTGCCTGCTACATCTGAATGCAAGCGTGTAGACCGAGTTAAAAACACTCCCGTGCTTCGATTTCTTGTCTATGTGTATGCAAGAAGATAGAAGGAAAGCTTCTCTATATGACAGACCTTTACAGACAAAAAACTGCACACAGAACCTCTTGCACCTATGTTGAGCTGCCCAGAAATACCTTGGATTACAAACTCTGTAAAGCTTCTGTCTTTTCTAGAAACATACATATAAAGTACCAGTAGACAGTGGTAACTGACAACTAAGACTAAAAATGTTGACAATTTCTTGATTTGCCTGGTTAGCTTATGTATAGAAGTCATTAACTATTTATAAAATGCATTATGAATTGGGTTCCTTCAAACTGTAGCAGAGTGTGTGACATTTCCAGCTCAAACTATCATTCTTGCATTTGGCTAAAGTACATATTTATAAACAGCTGATACTTATGAACTAAAAAAAAAAAAAAATCTAAAAAGTATTTAATTATTGAGTTTGGATGAACCGAACTCATTTTGGTAGCCACATCTAAAAGTGTTAGCCAATCCTACCGTAATAAAAATAAGAATGGTAATTCAAGATATTGATATTTTGGACAAATCCTGAAAGAACAAACGAACACTTTAGTTCAAAGGCCTTTCCTTTTATATTATTGATTCATTTGGTAGTGAAACTGTGATCAAAAGTAGTATCAAATTATTTATTGATTATGGCAAAGAGTTATACCTAATTGTAGTCAAAGGGTTATTTCTTTTAATATAATTGCTGATTTTCAGATCGTGAGAGATTATTGCAATAAAAGAACAGTGATACAAATATACTTAAGTTCGGTGGTGATGATATAAAGGATGATAAAGGGCCTCTAAAAATTGTATTGCTGTTAATATTTATTTCTTTCCCATGAAGAATATTCTTTTTCCTTTCTTCCATACAGGCTCTTATGAATGAGAATATCAGTGAGTTAAATCTTTCAAATAAATGGTGTGTAACCAAGGACTGTCTCAGTCTGTACATATAATTAGGCAACTTGTTCACTGGAGAACAAGCTTATGAAGCATCATGCTCCTCATCTCAGTCTAATAATGATAAATACATTCAACACTAACAGAATCAATGGGGCTGAGTCATTTTGTGAAATTGGGAGAGACTGTACAGTTGAACTACTAGACCTCAAATGGGAAGATTGAATCTTAATAAGAAAAGAAGATTAGATATTTATTGGTATATATTTGTAATTTCCTTCCTTGTTTGATGTGTATCAACTAAAAATAGGAAAATAATATAATTGAGCAATCTATGCCAATTTGTTGGCTTTTGGTGAAAAAAGAGAAAAACAAAACCTATCTCCATATGATATTCTTGCATACTGTGGAGTGTTTTAGTCCCCCATAGTGATGAAATGAATAATTTAAACAGGCAGCTCTGATACCACAGCCTGTTTAAAGGTTCTCATTTCCTTTAATGCTGTAGACTACTTTAGCTTGGTTAGTATGAAACTGTGACAGCTGAGATCTCCAAAAGATTTGGCACAATTCAGCTCTTGTAGTAGGTCCATGGTATGCTTTGTCCTTGCTATGTACATCTGTAGCTTTAGTATATAATCGAGATCTGAACACAAGCAACTGAATCACAAATTGGTAATCATTATAACGATGATCATGGTAATAAAGGGTGAACTACCCAGGATAAAAAGCTAAAATGTGTTGCTCTGAGATGACCAATACAACAAGGCTTACTCTGCTCCTAGGTTCCTAACATAAGGGGTGACCCACTTCCAAAATTCTTTGTCACAAAGGTAATGAATTCCCCTGTGCTCAGTATAATTTCTAGTGGGTTGTTTCCCATGCCCCAGTCCCAAGCACGTTTTTTGGCGTGATTGTCCAATGAGGGAAGGTTTGAGGAGGGATTTGGTTTTGCTGAGTTCCTACCGGTAGTGACTACCACGGCAGAGTGTGAGGGAAGCTCCCATCAATAAAGGCAGGTCCTACAGCTTAGCTCTTGCTGCTCTTGGGTTTCTTCCTCTGATGAAGTCTAAAACTGATCATAACTGCCCTCAAATATAAAAAGATTTTGTACAGCGTATTAAAAATCCTTTCTCTCTTTTAATGGTGAATGTAGGAATATTAACTGACTAAGGGCCTGTTTTTTGGCCAACAAAGAAACTGAAAGCTGGGCTGATGTTCTCTTTATGGACTTCCCTGTTGTTCCGTTGAACGTTGCTGTGGGTAATCTTGACGTTTGCTTTCCGTTGCTTGGCACTTGATCTAGTTTAGTATCAATATGATCATCAATTCATGAGCAAGTCTGGTGCTCATAAGCTGTGAGTAACGACTGTCTGTTGTAACGACCTAACAAATGACTGTCTCAGTTTTGCGGTGTTTCCATGAACTGCTGTAAACCAATGTTTCCTCATACTGCTGTTTCCTCTGCTTTCTCTTGCCCTTTGATTTCTGGTCCTTTCCCTCTGTAGGCCTTCATAGCCTTAGGAGCATAGGAAACATTTGTTCATTTTCTACATCTTTAAGTTCAACCAGTTTTATCAAGTGTGTGTTGTTCAGGTTTTTGGTTTTTTTTAATATGGTCTCAGTCTTCCTTTCCTATTTAATGGCATCACTGCAAGTGTGCTCTGGCTTCTGCATCCAGCTAGCAAGTGTTCTTCAGCAAAAACACATTTGGTTCCTACATATGCGTTTCTTCAGTGCTTCTGATATCCGTGTACATTGCTTGCAAAGGGTACCTGATTATCAGAACTGGGATCACACGTTATGTACCTTGAGCTTCACTGTAGCTGCTTTCATTGCTGAAAAGTTGAGGATACGGCTGTCTTAGAAATGCTAAGGTTTTGCCATGCAGATTTGTCAAAATACAGCAGTTGAACTTTTTAATAACTTTTACTTGCAGATTTTTTTTTAATCTAATAGGTATCCATTAGGGGGCTCTCGAGGTTTAAGATGATCAGCCTTGATACCAATGGCTTCGGTGCTTTACTTCCTAACCCTTTTTTCTTTTTGTTTTACAGAAAAGGTCACGGATCGCCTACAGTGATGAGGTGCGGAATGAGCTCCTAGGGGATGACGGGAATTCCTCAGAGAACCAGGTAGGATGCTAATCAAGAAGCCCTAGTGGGTGGCTGGAGGGTGAAGGAGGTCACTGGCACACTGGGCTTCTCAAGCTGCTCCTTAACAGCATTAGCAACAACTCATGTGGAAGTGATACTGTTTAATGCAAAGCTGGGGTCTTAATCAACTTCAAAATGTTTCTTGGAGATCTTACATTTAACCCTTTAACTTGTGATCACTGTCTGCTATCTTAAAAAAAATCTTTTCTTCTCTTTTCTTTATTATTTAGTACTTAAGAAATAACTTGAAACGCGCTGTTTGCCGACAAAGCCAAGGTCTTCACCTCAAACACATGTAAAAGGAATAAAAAAAGTACATAATGCAGCTTTGATAATAATGCAGTATAATTAAATCAACACTGGCAGGCAAAACAAATGAAAGTGCGCTCTCAGAATTAGGCAGTACCCCACTCAGTTTCCTTGTGTGATTCCTTCCCTAAACAGATTTTCTCTCCTTGTACCAAAACCACAAGTTGTACTAATACAAGCATGCTTTCATAACGCACGTTGTACTAGAATGCAGAGTGCTATCCATCCCTTAATGAAGGAAAGCTTGATAATCCCGAGGCTTTTTTAAAATCTTGTACCCGTATTGTTGTTCTGGACACTACAGTGAGGATCGTACTAGACTACTGAAAATTATAAAGGCAACGTTATATTCAGGGGACTTTGACCCACCTGTTAATATTTCTTCTGGTGCTGAAACTTGTTTCACAAGCTCTGTCTGAAAGCAGAATGTTTCTTTTCTTCTTGAAATCATGTCAACTATAATCAAAGTTGTGCATTTTGAGTTAGAAGTTAGTTGAAAGTTTTTTTAAATATAACATTTTCTCTTCTGACCAGGTAGAATTTAAATTATTGTGGTAGTGAAAGTGAAGCTTGTTTAAATGGTTACTTGATAAATGCAATATTAAATAAGGAAACGGAACAGAACCATGTTCTGAATTTTTTTAGTATCTTCTACCCTCAATATAAGCTCAGTATTGTAAATGTGTTGTGTAAGCTTTAAACTCTGTAATAGACCTTCATACGTACATTAATGAAATTAAACAGAGGATACATTCTATCTGTAGACCCTGTAGTGTACAGCAACTCTAATATCTATGTGAAGGGTTAAATTAAAAAGATATTAATCTTCATATTTATCTATCATAGCAAGGGGAGATTCCAAAATTTGAATAAAATAACAAGGGGGTTTTATCCCTAAATAATGAGTTGATGGAAAGGATGATTTCAGGGAAAAGAGTTTCACAGTCTGCCTGTGAAAGTGTTAAGATTCTCATTTGATTTCTTTTAAGGTGCTGCTATTTTTACATTTCAAGAAAAAATTGTGTGAATTCAGACATAAAAGGGCAATTGTGATAAGAAGCTTTACTTATAACAGAATATCTTATGTGTAGGGATGAGATAAAATATTTTATTTTCACTTTTTAAGGAATGGTTAAATAACTGGGTCACGTGCACTTTTTGTGAGTTATGATCTTTTTTCTAAACTTGATGGAAGAAACGTGGTCTGATCTCAAGAAACCAAATGATACTTTCAACCATTTGTCAACATGGGTTTTTTCTTCCAAATGACCACTTCTTAAATGGAAGAAAATTTTGGGTGGGAAAGGAGTTTATGTAGTAACCCAGCTTAAAATTGTTACCTCCATGCCTTTGAAAGTTCTGAATTTCTTTCTTTTCTTCCTTGAAAAATGTTATGAAATATCACCATAAAGAGTCAACTAGCTTCTTTTAAATACGTGATTGCCAACATTTTAAAAATCATTATTTATCATGTTGCTCCAATAATTCATATTGCAGTCTTTTTCTTATGAAATATTCATTATTTATATATGTAGTTGTGGGTACAAGCAGTTGGTGCAAGAACTTCAGTCTGATGTTGAGCTTATCCGAACGTGCAACTATCCAAATCAAGTGTAAGCTTTGGGTACTGACCATGTAGTGAACATGTTATCTTAACGTATTTAACTCAGTCTAATACACTTTCACTCCTATACATTATTATATCAATCAAAAACTTGAAGTATATGACGAAAGGATGCTCAGGTATAACTTACAGCTGTATAAAATATTTGAAAATGCTTCAAATACTTGCTTTAATTTTGTCTGATGGAAATAAATATAGGTAGATGGATGACTCTCATTCTAATATTGTGGGACTTTCACTTATCAGTCAGTTTGGCTTAAGTTGAATTAGTTAAACTGAAACGTGGTGGGTTTTTTTTTTCCCCAATTCAGTCACCAAACTTTGAAAGGGGAGAGAAGGGATTCTTCTTCTGACAAAGGAGTTGTTAAAAAAAGTTGCCAGCTTAGAATTGCTCCTGTACCAATCCACAAATATTGGTCAAATCTGCCAAAAGAAATGCTGAATATCGGGTTAGTCTGGGGTGTTATGCAAGGGAAACGAGATATGAGCTGTACATTTTACATATGGTCTTTATCATCATGATAAACGTTTGCAAAACGTTTTTGGTGGAGGGAGAAGACAAAAAGGAACTTGATGTGTACTGGCTAGTACAACCATATTAAGTATCTAGAAATAAATGGGGCACAATTTAGGTACTTTCTTTATTCAACTTCTATTTTTTGAGTTGAGTTTCAAAGGTACAGTTACAGCAAAACACAGCCAGGTTATAAGCTGTAATGAATAGGGTCACAGGTATGAGTTTCCAGTTGTTCTCCCAAGAAGAAAGATCAAAATACAAAGAATGGATTGAAGAATTAGCAAATTTGTTCCATTTTTTTGTCATCTTCTTTTTTCCTAAACGTCTTTCATACGTAGCTGTCATCATGTGTAGATGACAACTTAGAATACCGTGGTCTTATAATGATTATACCAGGATTTACCTAATTTAACAGACGAAGCATATAGAAACTTACCATAAGAAATTATAAGAATCATACAATGCTGATATACAATGCTTCGTTTTTAAATAAATGTATCTTTGTTTGGTGAGATAAATAATTCTCTTAATTCATTTAGGGTATTAGTAAAGTCATTGCTTAGTATCCATTAATTTATTCTTAATTTGAATCAGGTGAATGTAGTCAGATGAGGCACATACAGATGTTGAGAATCAGGAGACATCCCTTCTCCCATCAAGAAAACCCCACCTCAGACCCAAAAACCTACTGTGTGCATTGCGTTGTTATTTATTTTCCAGGAGTGGTCTTAAACAGGCTCTGTTACTTTCAAGTTTTATTTGTCATTCTGGCCACCAACAGTCATCAAATCCCTGGAAAGTTTTGAGCTTTTCAGTGCAATGATACTCTACTTAAAGTTGTGGCTTCACTTTAATAATTATAGAACTGTTTTATGTGGCGATTCATATGGTTTGTAGAAATTATATGTTGGGCTAAATCAGAAATCCTTTTCGACCAAAACAGTGTCAGGTACAGTATTACCAACTTCCTTGAAATATAGTAGTATTCCTTTCTCTCTCTCAACTATGTTCATTAATATGTTTAAATAAATTTGCATTGGGTTAAATTGCGTGTCCATATATGCATACACTGTATATGTGATTTGTGGTGAACAAATATTTTGTGGCTACTTAATTTCTGACTACAAAGTTCTGATAATATTAGATTTGGGCTTGCTGTGCATAAAGTGTGTCAAACTTCAGCTACAGACCAGGGGGTGAAGTTGGTCAATTTAATTCCCCAAGATCTAAAGAAGGTCGGTATCATTTCATATAGCCCTGGCAGAGCAGATCATTACCAGACACAAATCTGTTCGTTACATGCCGAGGGTTTATAGCAAAATAAATAGACTGTCATCATAAGTTCAGAAAATTGTGTGTTCGACCCACGATAATGTGTAAAGGGCGTTTAATAGAGTTCAGCATTTATTCGTTATCTATATGCGGACAGAGACGGCGGTAGCGTTATCAGCTTTTTAAAAAAAATTCGGTAGTTTTCTATGTCACGTGACGCGCCTCACAGACACACACACGCACACACACACGCAGGCACACATCCCATCTCGCTCCCTCGCTCTCTGCGGCGCAGTTTTGATTTTAGTCACAGCAGAAGGCTTAGCCACAAGAGATTCCACTGGTTCAAACCAGCGTAAACCAGATTTTTTTTTTTTTTTTTTAGCCTACAAAGGAACAGATTACCTCTTGTATCGAATTCTGTATTGCAAAAAAAAAAAAATAAAAAATCTTTGTTTCAAAAATATGCTGATTATCATAACCTAAAATGGTGGCTGCACACGGCTTAATGCTGTTTACAGTTGAGCGGTGAGCATAATAAAAACGTTTCAAAATAGAAAAGTAAAGGTAACACATTTTCATCAAGAGCATTGTTAAATGGGGGAAAAATACATCTTTTGTTAATTTGAATGAATATCTTTCAGCCAATGTTAAAAAAAAAAAAAAAAACCAAACCCTCTCCCATTACTTAGCTTAGCTGCAAATCCCATGCAGAGCTTAAATTCAGCCATGCAGCACAAACAAGATAGAACATTTTTGTTTGGAACCTATTGAAAAAACAAATGTGCAGCATTTTAAAACTCTCATTGATTATAGCAGGGTGGCATGCCCAAACGGGCTCTATTGCGGGAGAGTAGTTTTAAACTTTGGCCCTTTAAGTATCATAGTCAACTGAAGAATGGCGGCCTCAGAAAGAAAAGATAGCTATGTGATCAACTCCCAGATCGTCTCTTTCTAAAGAGCCATAATGTTTGCCTTTTTGGGGAGAAAAGGGGGGGAAGATCTGGAGAAAGACCAATTTATGATAGGCCAAGCACTTGAATTTAAGCGCCGGTTTGGCGGACAATGCAGTTTTCTTTATAGCAAATTCTAGCAAAGTTCCTTTAGCTACGTCCTGAAGAGCCGTTTGGGTTTAAGTCGGCGTGGTAGTAGCCCTCCTAATTACATCCAGTTAGAGCCTTGTTGTCTGTTTTGGTGACGGGGTCCATGGACGAGCCAAATGAAACAATAGGGAGTAATGGAGATTCTTTTGTTCCC